TATAATTCTTAATAGACGTGTTTTAAAAACCACAAGACTGATTGCGTTACATAACGGGCCAAAATGGACAATATCTGCTAGCGGTGAGCTTGAGCTGTTATAAATGGTATCAGAGTTAGACGTCGGGTGGTGTGCTAGCGAGAACGCTGAACCCATGGAGATGAATTGTGAAATCTCATATCGGTTGGGGAGGGTCACAAAACATTTCTTATCAAGGGTGTGGAAATCTCTCTCTAGTAGACACGTTTTAAAACTGTGAAAGCTAAACATGACGGGCCAAAGCGAACAATATCTAGTAGCGATAGACTTGAGATGTTACATAAATGAACAAAATCTTTTGAATGAAACCACGAGAAACGACTAATATTTGACTTTATCCTTGTAGCCCTAGATGCTTTCTTAAAGTGGTGGAAGAGAAAATAGAGAACTTCATTGATATCGATGCTCGGGTTGGCAAATGCTTTCAACTCGTGGAACGATCGAGATTGTAGTTTGTAACTTTTTTTATTAATAACAATGTACACCAGTATATTTCGAAAATTTTCATTTTAACCCTTAAACTTTGAAATTATTTCAAAAATACCCTTACAAGATTTTTTTTTCTTCAAATAAAGGACGGCCGTAATGTAAAAGCACATGAGCACGTAAAGACATATACGTGCAATGATGTCTTATACTTGACTAACGAATTACTCAAAACACACGAGATTAACATCACCCAACGATTATTCAAATGGATTCTACCCTTTCGAACAGGTAAAAATGTATATTCTCGATCAAAAAGTCATCATTCGTATTTAAACATGCAGATAATTAGAGATCACTATCATAATGTCGGTTTAAGGACGGAGTAAATTTTTTATCGGTACAATACCTTTTACGTGAAACAAGAAAATAAAATCACATGCAGCTTAAGTTAAATTTAAAGGTGGGTTATTTAACGACAGAACCGTACTTCCAAATGTTGTCAATAGAGATTTCTTAGTGTCTGCCGTTATATTTTAGCTAAATAGAACAGAAGACTGCAAAACAGGAGCGTGCTTTTCTTTTCTTCCTCCTTTACATAAGATAATGGGTTGACTTTAGCTCGAGATTCTCGGTATTTTTTTCTCGAAATCTTTTTCGGTCAATGATGAATGAAATTATAATGCCAAGTTGACATATAAAGTCAAACTCCACTAAGGTCTCCTTCTCTTTAACTACATGTGTTCCTTAAGTGGTGGAAGAGAATGGAAGACATTCTATACATTTCTGTTTTTTAATTAGATTTAAATTTTATTTTTATTTTACTCCTTCAAATTTCAAAAATAAATAAATAATTATATATATATATATATATATATATAATTCCTTTTATTAATTATTTTATCACTTTTATTATTCAATTAATTTATATTTCAATTTTTGGTAATTAGATAAATATTTATAGTGCGTTTTACTCATACGTGTTCATAGAATGGGTTAGGTCAGTTTGTTGGGTCGTAAATTTTTTCAACTTAAACAATTCTTATTAAATAATCAACTCAGTCTAACCGAACCATACATTTCTTGAGTTGGGATAGTTCAGTTTGTTCAAGTCATTTATTTAAATTTTTATTTTTAATAAAAATAAAATATTAATTCTAAAAAAATCTATTTATTTATATTCAAATATTTAATTAATATTTACTGCTCAAATTTAATATATATTTTTAAAAATTACCTCCAAATAATTAAAAATTATTATTTTTAAATGGTAAAAGAATAAATAATATATATATATATAATTGAATTGTAAATAAAAATATATTTTTTTTTGAGTGGTTCGGTTCAATTCAACTTAGTTCATATAACTCAGTCAAAATAGGTTCATAATTCAACTCAAACTAACCATATAGATTAGATTAGGTTGACCACGAGTCGAGTCTTAAATTATTTTGAAGTTTGGACAGGTGGCAGACGCGGAACCGTAGTGTCGGAGAATGGCCGTGTCTCTCGGAGGTTGTCGGATCTTTAATGGAAAAGGGGTCGTCGCAGGCTGTCGCCTCACGAGCGTTTGAGTACGAGAAGTTCAAATACAAAGAATGACATGTAAGAAAGGAAGAAGAAGAAGAAGAAGAATGTGTGGGTGTTAGGGTGGTGACAAATGGCATTCATTTTCTTGTACCCCCCTCTTCTACCTTCTTCCCTCCAATTATTAATTTGCCACCTAAGCTCGATCACGCGGATCCCGATCTGACATTTAATGGTTGAAACTGCGACAAAAGTCCCATGTTCGATGAAAAGATCGGTATTGTCAGCTTGATCCGTTACGTATCGTCGTTAACTTTACTGTTTTTAAAACGTGTCTGTTAGGGAGAGGTTTTCATAGCCTTATAAGGAATGTTTAGTTCTCCTCTCCAATCGATATTGGATCTCACAATCCATACCCTGGAGACGCGTTTTAAAACTGTGAGGCTGACGACGATACGTAACGGGCCAAAGTGGATAATATCTGCTAACGGTGGGTTTAGGTTGTTACAAATGGTATCGAAACTAGTCACTGGACGGTGCGACGCACTGGTCGGAGTAGGGATAGACTCTTTTCATAGTAGGCACGTTTTAAAATCGTGAGATTGAGGGCGATACGTAACTAGCTAAAGTGGACAATATCTGCTAGTGGTAGGTTTGAGTTGTTACGAATGATATCTGAACTAGTCGTTGGATAGTGTGACACACTGGTTGGAGTAGGGCTAGACTCTCTCCATAGTAGACACGTTTTAAAATTGTGAGGTTGAGTGTGATACGTAACGGGTCAAAGCGGATAATATCTTCTAACGGTGGGTTTGGATTGTTACGAATGATATCAGAACCAGTCACTGGACAATACGACGCACTGGTTGGAGTAGGGCTAGACTCTTTTTATAGTAGACGCATTTTAAAACCGTGAGGTTGAGGGCGATACATAACGGGTCAAAACGGACAATATCTTTAACCGTGGGCTTGAGTTGTTACAATGTTACTTACTTATCTTGAACCGATTTTAAAAATAAAGCCTATAATTTAATTTAAATTCTATAAATTTATAATGAGACAATCGATTAGGATGAATTTTCAATCTCGTGTTATAAAAATTTAAAATCGTGGACCAAATTTTCTTCGATATAAATGCAAAAAATGTCAACGTCAACGTCAACGTCAATTATTATTATTCGTCGTTGTGATTGTATGCTAATTTTACTCTTAGAATTTCGAATCGATTGAATCTAGACAACTCGTTCCTATCTTTTTAAGATAAGACGGCCCCTCTTTTAGCGACCTGCAACCTTACGAACAAAATAAGATCCATACGTTGAATAAAACGTGTATGAAAATGTGTTATCATGTGCAAAGTTTATTACTTTACGCGTGACAACAAAATTGTCGATATGGCTAGCTTAACCGAGTAAAAAACGTACATTTTAATTAAAATTTGAGTTTTTTCTTCTAAATAATTATATTATAATTTCTTGCTTTACTCGAGTTTTAGGTCAAAGAGTGAGCTTTGGAACATGGAAGAATTATCAACCGAGACTTTCAAATACTCATGGCTTTGTCGGTATGTTACGATCGAGTGAGTGAGGTGGAAAAGTAAAGCTATACGGTTTTACGTCGATTTGATGAAATACTCATGGCTTTGTCGGTATGTTACGACCGAGTGAGAGAGGTGGAAAAGTAAAGCTATACGAGTTTATGCAGATTTTATCAAATACTCATGGCTTTGTCAGTATGCTACGACTGAGTTAGTGAAGTTGAAAAGTAAAGTTGTAACAGTCCAAGCTCACCACTAACAGATATTATCCGCTTTGGCTCGTTACCTAGCACTGTCAGCCTCAGGGTTTTAAAACGCGTATGTTAGAGCAAGACTTCCACACCCTTATAAGGAATGCTCGATTCCCCTCTCAGTGGTGTGGGATCTCACAATTCATCTCCCTTGGTGTCTACCTCTGATACCATTTGTAACACAGTCCAACCCCACCGCTAGTAGATATTGTCTACCTTGGCCCGTTACGTATTACCATCAACCTCACGATTTTAAAACGCGTCTGTTAGAGAGACGTTTCCATACCCATATAAGAAATGCTTCATTCTCCTCTCCAATTAACGTGGGATCTCACAAAAGCTATACGGGTTTACGTCGATTTTATCAAATACTTATAGCTTTATCGGTACGTTACGACCGAGTGAGGTGAAAAAGTAAAGCTGGGTTTACGTCGGTTTTATCAAATACTCGATCCGATAAGATTCCCGCAATCTGTCTCATAGATCTTCTGAGAAAAAAAAGATGCAAATGGGAAGTTTAGGATATGAAGTCAAATTCTAATAAGGTCCTCCTCCCACCAAGAAGTGCTTTCCTATAAAGTGTTGGAAAGGAATGGAAAGCCTACTACTCCCAATTGGTAGCCCTTTTAGTAGTGAATCCTTCTTGATCATCCACTTTCCTAGAGTGGTGGAAAACAATGTAGGACATAGGACATCTCGAATTAGGTTAAAGTTTTAGTTGACTTTCCCGAGCTCCTCAAAGTCCAAGGTTTGGTCGGGATGATCAGATTATAACGCATGAGCTGTTTTGTGTGCAACGAGAGCAAGCTCGTGGAGACCCTGTTCACACATGTCATATACTGAGTGGTGCACTCGTGTCTGTGACTGTATTTTTCTTTCTTATCTACAAACAGTGGAAGATAGTTAAAGGTTATTTTTTTTCGATTGTAAAGGTTGTAGCTTTCAATCGCTGAACGTTTCGAGTGTTGCACTGCTTTTTATAACACTACACAAAAGTGCATTGCTTCACATCGTACCCTCAACGCTTAAACGTGATGTCTTGATCAAGCCACGAGTCTATCTTTTTCGAGCCGAGCCATCGTGCGTGGGTCCATTCTAGTCCAAGTTGGGCCTTTGGATAATACCACTTTAAGGGAAGAAGAATCAGAATCCAAATCCCCCCAAAAGGTTTCTATATAAATCTACACGATTTCGAGCTCTCAAAGAGGCAGCAAAATTAGAACATTTTTGACAAACTTCTCTCTGGGGCATTTCATCGAACACTTAGCGACATGGGTATTCTACCGGAGATCATTCATCACGCAAGGCAAATAACTCACCGATCAGCGTCGTCGCACCACCGATCGGGTTGTTCGGATGTTCCGAAAGGCCATTTTGTGGTGTATGTTGGGGAGGAAGAAGATGAGAGGAAGCGATTTGTGGTGCCATTGTCGTACTTGAAGAATCCCCTGTTTCAAGAACTGTTGAGCCAAGCTGCTGAAGAGTTTGGATTTGAGCATCAGGTTGGTGGGATTATGATACCTTGTGCGCACGATCATTTTCTGAGTTTAACTTCTGGATTGAACTGAGCCATTGGCTGAAATTGATTAGAACTGGGAATCCATCTGCTAAAAGCTTCAAAAGCTTGAAAATGGTGGAGCTCTGTAAATTAGGGGTTTTAGAGTTTAGCCATTGATGTATTGTTTTGAATCATTAGATCATTGGAATCCGTTCTCTTTCTATATCAATCGTTCACCATGTTTCGTTAGTGTTCATCGAACCATCGGTCTCGTTTTGTTTATCTTCAACGCCACCCTTCGACATTCGGTGCTAGCACATATTGTCCAGGCTTTTAAAAACGTGTTTGTTTCGTTCTATTCTCCAACCGACATGGGATCTCATAATTCACCCCCTTCAGGGCTAACATCCTCACTGGACTCGTTCCCTTTTCCAATTGATGTAGGGTCTCATAATCCATCTCAGGGTCAGGTGCTGATGAGCACATTGAACTATCCATGTGGCTGAGAGCCCTCATAGTCTAGGCACAACGACGCAATTTTTAGGGGTGCGCTCTACCACTGAGTTAATAGTTCGCCCTCCATTTGGGACCTATCGTTCTTGTTGGCACTCGTTTTCTTCTCCAACCGATGCGGGATCTCACAATCCACTCCCGCCATATAGATATTCTAAGTTGACAAGATTTTGATCACCGAGAAAGTCCTAAAGCAGTTAGGTCGGTTTGATAACCACTTATGTCTTGTTTCATAACTAATTTTCTCATGCATTAATGATCTTCAAGGTTGTTCTAAGTCTAAGAGGCCTGTGTGGTTTGTTTGCTCGGGCAGTGGCAGCTTCTGAAGAATGAGCTAGTTACAGGCGTACATGAGTTAGATCGGGTTAGAGAAATTGTTTGAATCAACTCGAGTTTGTGACCTATGCAACTCCAACGAAGTTCACAATTCAACCTAATCCAACTCTCTATTTTTAGATTAGGTTGTCGGGTTTTTTTTAATATTATTTATAAAAAAAATCTACTTATGTATAACACATGTTATATTAATAAATAAAATCTCGTAAAACCCAAATTTCAAACATTTATAAGTCACAAAACATCGTTAATATCGGTTACGTCAAATTTTCTTAATCTTTATTATTATAACCCTGTTTTTGGGTTGATAGAGTTGACCCGATCAAAAAATTGTCAATCTGCGAATCGATTCCAAGTTTTGCTATTCTAAAAATTAAACTCAACTAAAAAAAAAAAAAAAAAAAAAAAAAAAAAAAAAAATTAACCCGACCTAATATTTATGATTTGGATTAAGTAATTCGGATGGGTCGAGTTCTCGAGTCAGATGAATACCCTTCCGTCGGTACATAACATAAATATAAATGAAAGTTAAAAAAAAATTAAAATTAAAAACTCAGTAATATAAATATGTTATATAAAACCTTTAATTTTTTTAAAAAATTAAAATTTTATAAAAGAAATTAAAAAAATTTATATAATTTAAAATTTTATAAAATAAATTAAAAATTCCCCATAATAATATTGGAGAAAATTGTTAGTATTTTGACACGTGGGAGTAATAGGTCACGTGTAGGAGAAGTTTTAGAAGAGTCGTGTGTTCAGCTCCGGCCCAAGCCACTCACCGCCACACGTGTCTCCACCACACACGTATTAGTGGCAAAATAGGAATTCACCATCATGACCATATTAATTATCTATGACTTACCCTAAAACATTCAAGACTTTATTTTTATGTATTAAATAATTTAATCTTGCATCATTATCTTTTCTCGATTTCTACTTTACATAAACAATATTATTTTTTATAGCGTTTTTTTAATCTCTCTTTCGGTGGTTAAAAATTACAAATACAAAATGTCTAGGCTTTCGTACCTAATATAACAATTCTCGAACAATCATAGACACCAATTTAAAGCGGTATCTGTTTGAAAAAAATATGATCCTGTATTTGAATTTCGAACATCCGACATGTTTTGGACGGTAGAACGGGGAGAGGGGGAGTCGTGCCCATATACAACCAGGAGTGGTCAAAGTGCTTCATGAAACAAGCACGAAGGCCCGCCTTCCATCCTGCATTTCCCTGCTTGAGACTCGGGAAAGAAAGGTCAGCCACCTTTATTAGGTTTAACGCTTGGAAATTCATTGATAGTGACTTTGCCGGGTTAGAGGTAAAGGTAAGCTTCATCTAGAGAAAGAGGGAAACAACCCACCACCTGATGATTCGACGTTCACGATAAAGTCAAGCGAAAATACACTTAGGAACTGATTGTAGATAATTACTCGGACTTACGTGAGATTTCTTTTTTATCACGAAATTCAAATCGAAATTATTAGAAACTTCAAAAAAAAAAAAAATTGTAGTCATAAGAAGTTGTTCGAGTTGACAAGAAAGAGTTTGTTTACGTAAGTAATAAACCTATGTATTTACACGAGTCGCCCTTGTGGAGTAAATGAGTTCTTTCAATTTCTCGTATCGTTTGTCGTGGATTAGTATCTCAAAGTTCTTTGATAGACATAAAGAAATCGTCTTGGTAGCAACCACCGAACCAATAGAACTAAGGTTAGCTCAACCGGTGATCCATAAGCAAGGTAAGTAGGTCTATTATTGGCCGGCTCTAGAACGAAAAGACCTAACGGATTAATCCTTTATCTCGGATCGAAGATGCTTACGGGGCGGGAATCAAAGTGGGGGACCTCTCTACCGTCTGCGTTTATCTCCTCTAAAATATGCTCGGGAGACAATTTAGTAAAAAAAGGAATTAATAGCATTTTTTAAAAAATTATTAGACATAAAATAAAAAATTTATAAATTTATAAAAAAAAGATAAAAATGCAAGAGTTTGACTAAAATGGTAATTTCACTTATTTTTATTGAAATTTAAATCAGAAATGAAGTTGGTAATATATCAATGGACACGTTCTTCATCTCTGAAGCTTACAGAGAAAGAAAATACAGAGAAGAAGAAGAAAGTGACGAATCCGTTTGAATTTGTTCGTTCTCGAAGTTGATTAATGGCCGAATTCGGTAATCAATGAAGCGTAATCAACCAATTTGATCGCCATTGCCAACAATCTCTCTCTCTCTCACAAGAATCTCAGCAAAAAGCTTGCGCAGTTCACAGGACTTGAGAATCAAAAGCGGAAAAAGTTTAATGGATACTGTTTCTTCTTCACCTTCATCATCATCTTCGCCATTGAAGCGATCTACCGGACAGATTCTGGACGGTTCAGAAATTATGGAGTTGGTTGCCAATAAACACGTCTTCTCCTCTTTTGTCGACCATAAGTTTCATGAGCTCGACACCGACAAAGACGGCAAGCTTTCTCTCAAAGAGCTTCATCCTGCCGTCGCCGACATTGGTGCTGCTCTTGGCCTTCCTCCTCAAGGCACTTCCCATGATTCCGATAACATTTACTCTGAGGTTTCCTTTCTTTCTCCTTTTAGTGCAATTTCAGATGGTGGTGTTGTTCTTCTACATTAGGTTTTTTTTTAGATTGTATACTGCGGTGATACTTTGATTGGATTCCTTCTGGAATTTCCGAATGCTGAATTCCGGAAAACGATAAGAACTGTTCCTTTTGTTATCAATTGCTGTTCCTGTTTTCGTTCAATGATTGTTTTGATCTGAATTGAGTTTTTCATTCTATCTAAACTCTGTAGAAAGTGGTGTCCGTCTTGTCCCCACTATTTGAGACCATCATTATGGTGTTATTAAATTGGAGGGAAATTTTGTTCATGTTGTTCTCTTGTTCTAACTCTGGCTTTGACAAATTCAATCCAGCTCTAATGATGGATGACAAGGAGATTGATACAAGTTCTTGGTGTTCTTTTTTTGGCTTGTCCCAACCTGCAATTGGGAGAACATTTTCTGGTTTTGTGAAGTTTTGATGGGACTTATGAGATTATTGTTTCTTTTAATATTCTCTGTAATGCTTGTCCTTCCAAAGATCACTTTTAATTTGATGATTATGATGACGTGAGATCCACACTTGTTGGAGAGGGGACGAAACATTCTTTATAAGGGTGTGGAACGAAACATTCTTTGTAAGGGTGTGGAAATCTCAAATTGGACTATGTCTTCGAGGAAGCTCGACTCCTTTTCTTTTGAAGTTCTTTATTCGACATTTGAGGATTCTATTGGCATGACTAAGTTTAGGGGCATAACTCTGATACCATGTTAGACGAACACGACTCTCTACAATGGTATGATATTGTCCACTTTGAGTATAAGCCCTCGTGGCTTTGCTTTGAGCTTCCCCAAAAGGCCTCATACCAATCGAGAGAGTATTCCTTGGTTATAAACTCATGATCATTCCTTAAATTAGCCGATGTGTGACTTTCATCATCCAACAAATATGTGTTAGCGGTCGGCTTGGCTGTTAGAAATGGTATTAGAGCTAGACACTGGGAGGTGTGCCAGCGAGGACGCTGGTGCCCAAGGAGGCTGGATTGTGAGATCCCACGTTGGTGGGAGAGGGGAACGAAGTATTCTTAATTCTTTATAAGGGTGTGGAAACCTCTCTCTAACAAACATCGTTTTAAAAACTGTGAGGCTGACGACAATGCGTAACGGGACAAAGCGGACAATATTTGTTAGCGGTGGGTTTAGACTTTTACAAAAAGTTTAGCGGGTAAGGATGATTTTACTTTCCATTCCTTTATCTAAAAAATGCAAATTATTAGTTTCCATTTACAGATGGCTTGAGAAGCATCCAGCCTCTGGTCCAACATGGCCGGTGGGTTCATTACAACTTTCTGGATTCCTTTTCAGTTCATCATTTCTTTTCCTTTTTGACTTTTTCCCCCCTTTTTACAAGGTGGAATCTATGGCGAGTGCTTTGAAAACAATATCCCTTTTGATCATTAACAATGTTAGAATTGTCAACATCTGACCTCAATAATAATGAAACAAGTTTTCTGCTCCAATAATTAAGCAAGAGAGTGTTAAAGCTTTTGTTCATAAAACTCTTCTTGTTTCCCACTCGTCTTTTGTTGCCAAAATATATAGCAGATTTGCAGTTTTAGGCAGGTTGTGATTCTACTTCTGACTTCGTTTCCTTGAGTTTATTGTCAAATATGTCTTCTTTATTGCAAACTGTTTCCATTCTTGTTAGTTCATTCAACAATTTCTTCTCTGGATGGGGTTCTTTCTTTGGCTGGTATGCAGGTATTGAGTGAATTTACACATGGATCAAGAGAAAAGGTAAGCAAGACCGAGTTCAAAGCAGTTCTCTCTGATTTTCTGCTAGGCATGGCTGCCGGGTTGAAGCGAGATCCTATCGTTATACTTCGGATTGATGGAGAAGACCTTCTTGAATTCATCAATGGCCCTGCGTATGAGCCTGAGATGGTCGCCACTTTTTCACAAATTGAGCTACCTGAAGGATCTCTTCGTGATTACATTGTTAAAGCTTTTGAATATCTTACTGTGGAACAAGGGATGCCTCCTCTTTCAGACCCCTGGGTAATTAATTATTTGATTTCTTAGCTGAACTGTGACTGGATTTCTTCATGTTCTAGTAGTTTTGTGATTGAATTTGGTGCCAACTTTTCATTAGGTTATGAGCGATATTGTCGAACCAGCTCTGGAATTCTGTGCTGCAGCTGAGAATTGGGACAAGCCTGTCTCGCCAGAGACGTTGTTGGAATTCAAGAGAGCGGCGGAGCATGTGGCTCAACGCCTTAAAGAACAGCCTGTTATTGTTGCTCACAGTGAAAACACCTTTGATGGAAGTAGCATAAGAAGATTGATATCCAACAAATTCGAACTTGACAAGGTAATCTTGTGAAAAAGCCTAAGCTCACTGTTAGTAGATACTGTTCAAAGCAAACAATACCTGTTAGCGGTAGATTTGGGCTGTTACAAATGGTATCAGAGCCAGACACCGGATAATGTGCCAGTGAGGACGCTTGGCCCTCAAGAGGGTGGATTGTGAGATCCCACATTGGTTGGAGAGGGGAACGAAACATTTCTTATAAGGGTGTGGAAACCTCTCCCTAATAGACGTGTTTTAAAACCTTCCAGGAAAGTCTAGAAGGGAAAACCCAAAGAGGAAAATATTTGCTAGCAGTGGGCTTGAGCTGTTACTAATGGTATCAGAGTCAGTCATCGGTTGGAGTAGGGCTAGACCCTCTCCATAACAGACGCGTTTTAAAAACTTTGAAGGGGAAGTTTGAAAGGAAAAGCCCAAAGAAGACAATATCTACTCTCGGTGGGCTTGGGTTGTTACATATTGCATCGTAGAACTGTTTTCCAGTAGTCTTGCTTGATTAAGATTGTTCTTGCATCATGTTCTCTCCATCATTTGTCATAATTTAATCTTGATGCAGTCACTTAACACGGCACTTCAGAGTGTCCCAAAAGATAAAAATGGGAAATTGCCAAAGGAACATCTGCAGTTGGCGCTGGATTTGGTTGCTCCATTAGCCGGTCTACCACCGCTCGGTGCCCTCGACGAGGTTACAAAACAACCAACGATCGTCACCAACATTAACTGATCATCACTGAAACTAATGCTTGATATCTATAATCTAATCTGCAGATGGACAAGCTGCTTGTTGGTGTATTCAAGATGGTAGACCCGGACGACAGGAAGGCGGTTAAAGAAGACGAGTTCAAGAAACTATTAACTGAGATTCTGGGGGCAGTCATGTTGCAGTTGGAAGGTAATCCAATCTCAGTTTCTTCTAGTTCTGTTGTGCATGAGCCTCTAGCCTGTTCTTCTTCACTTTTGACACCATCCTCTTAGTAAACATATTGAGCAGAGCTGTTCTAGGGTAAAAAATGATACTCCTTTGAATGAATGTATGCATCAGATTTGTTGTATTATATTATAAAAGATACTTTTATATGTACGTGAGCATTTCTTCCCGTTAAAATATCATCACTAGCTCACTAGCTCTACAGGGTCAAGCTCAATAATTGTATGGGCTTATTGTCTAATAAACTTTTTAGGAACAAATTGTCCGGCCTATAGGATAAATATCTCTATTACAACCTTGAAATTCAAGCCGCCTCGATTAGAGCAAAGTGTATTAGTATTCTATGGGATGTCTTGTAATCTCTTATCTACTTGTCTTCATAAAGAGTGCTCGTGTTTTCCACAGAGAGTTTGTTCAATGTATCATTGTTCAAAAGAAACTAAATCAAAACTAAATTCTTTGGTAGATTAGATGGGATCAAGTTTTAATGAATGTGGTTCGTACCTCTCTTCTCTCTATTATTTAAAAAATTATATTACCATTCAATATGGTAGGTTCGAATGATTGCTCTTCATATGGTTTGAACTAAAAAGATGGGTACGGTTCTTTTCGAAATTGAATCTAAGTTTTAGAATTAAATTTGTGAAGTTAGATTTTTTATTTCGTTGTTTTCTTTTTACTTTATTAAATCACGTGTGGGAGTAGAGATCAAATCTACGACCTCTTAAAATAAATAGAAATATCTTTATTCTCGTGCTCAAGTTTGTTCGTTAATTATCAATGATGATAGAGGTTAGGTAACTTTTATGAACTTAATTTTAAAAATAAAAAAGTTCAAATTTTTATCAAAGGAGCCTATATTTTTTTTTTATTTTTCAAAACTTAGCATTCGTTTAAAAGGAAACCCACTTTTAAAAAGTACAATATAAAAATTTAAAATTAATTAATTGAAGTAATATTTATGAACTTAATTTTTTAAAAATTAATAATTAAATATTAAATGTTTATGGGGAGGGCGTTAAAGATAATAATAATTTTTTTTTTTAATTTTGTTAACTATTTTTTTAAGAATGTGTGTATTTTGAAAATATCACCAAATTTAAATCTTATATTTAATAAATCTCTAAATTTTTAATTTTTGCAGAGTAAAATTTAATTTTTTATTTTGAGGAGACGGTTGGATGATGAAAGATGAAAGTCTCAACTAATTAAGAGAAAGATACAAAGAATACTTTTTTAATAGGAAGAGTTTTGGGTTCATAAAGCAAAGATATGGGAGTCTGTTCATCTAACATGGTATCAGAGTACTGCCCTAAATTTAGTCGTGCTCATCTTAAGTATGGGAGCTTAAGTGATAAGAGTTTGAGTGTCTTAGACATTTAATTTCTATAAAAATTAAAGTTTCGGAAGTTCATGAAATGAAACATTCGTCAGCATCGAAGAACAGTCCAATTTCGAAGTTTTCGCAGAGGAAAAGGTGAGTGAAGGAGGAAATAGCTTGAAGAAACAAAAAAAAAAGATGAACACAAAATGATTCTCAAACGAATCATTCCATTAACCTTTCTGAAAGCAGCGTATAACAGAAATCGAAATTTTCAGACTGATAATCCAGACGAAAATTATGCTCCGACGGCAAGATTCCTCGTCAGAATCCCTTCAAACGAAATCCCAGGTCCAAATGCCAGAATCAATCCCCATTCCTCAGTTTCCCCACCGCCCATCTTCTTCTTCAAGCTTTCTTCCACCATGTATTCCAGTACGTACACGATCGTGTTACTGCTCGCATTTCCATAGTCCATCAGAGCTCGCCGGCTTGCCGTCAGCTTCTCAGGTAACAATTCGAGTCTCTTCTCTAACCTGCTCAGTATCGCTGGCCCTCCTGGATGTACTGCCCAGAACATTTTGTTGTATTCTTTTTCTTGCAGCCCAAGTGTTTGAAGAAATGCCTCACAGAAATTTTCGATGTTATCTTCGATTATCTGAGGGAGATCTCTTGCTATTGTGAAGCTAATACCCTCCTCCGACAGTCTCCCGTCGATTATGTTCTGGGTGTTTGGAATGAATTTCTGGGTTGCTGTGTGGAGCTCAAAGAGTGGCCGTTCAATGCCGAAAACAGGGTCTGTGCCAATTAGCATCGCCCCTGCACCATCCCCAAATAAGGCCACGCCTACCAGATCGTATGGCCGATTTGCACTCGGTGGCTTGTAGCTGCAAAGTTTATGTTTAAATTCTCAGAACAATAATATGAGCTTTGGCGAGTGTTTAAAGAGTTACCCAATAATGGTGGTTTCAGAGGTGACAAGCAGAACTCGGCTTCCGGGGTTGTTTTCAGCTAAGTCTTTGGCGACTCTAAGGCCTGCCACGCCTCCAGAGCAACCCATGAAGTAAAGCATGAGTCTCTGGGTGTGAGGGCTGAGCCCAAGGCCCTTCGCTAGGAAGAGATCGCCACCAGGTAGGCGAGCTTCACTTGAAGATACATAGACTAAGTGGGTAATGTCTGAAACTGGTCTTCCCCAGTTCTTAATGGCAGCTTGTGAGGCTTCAATGGCCATGTCTGTCACAGCTTTGTTGCATATCTCCAGTCTCTGCTTTATGGTTGCTTGGCCTTCCATTGCTAGCTCTGGGTACTTCTTCAGTATCTCTTCTGACATCACCACGTATCTGGTTTTGACTGTTGTCGTCTTGCCTATGGATTTACAGTACAGGATGACAGTTAATTCAGTTAAAATGAGAAGTTTTTATAAACTCTAGCATTAATCAGTTCTTACAGAGTCGGGTGAGCTTTTGCTTGAGGTCTAAATCATCGCAGCTCGTATCCTTGAAATAGCCATCGACCAGGTAGTCTTGAGGGACAAGTTGGGGAGGGAAGGCCTTCCCAAGTGCCAAAATCGTAGCTCTACCAGAGCTGGCCTTTCCCATGTAAGCTCCTTGTGCCCCATTTATGTTTTTCATATCTTTCATTTTGAACTTTCCAAAGAAACTTGGGAATCAAACAATTTTTTGCAGTTTGCAGGGACAAGGAAGCTATTAATAAAGTGACACTACCTGTTCATCACCTAGAAAGGCAGTTTGAATGCTCAAAGTCTACAATGGAAGGCATGTGATTTGAAAATAAGGTAAGATTTTAGAATGGTAATTAGTTAAGAAGCAGGGGATTCATGTAGGCTGTGCATATTAGTAAGGTATAGATTTGGTTAAAGTGTGTGTTTAGTGCATTTGCAGTCCAGTTGAGTCGACATGGTTTGATATCCATCCTCATCATAGTCACATTACAAATACTCAGTGCATGAAAGCACATATAAAAAGAGACAAATCTCACTTGCTACATTGATTTGTTTGCTCGAGCAGGCCGAAAGACATTTTAACGTACAATAAAAAGAGTACACTATGATTTCCAAAAGTATATATGCTTGGGTATTATTCGACTCTTGTACATTACAGTTCATGAATGCACTTTCCACTGATGAAATGTATAACTTGTGTCACTGCTTCATCCAATGCAGCAGAAACTGTAGCTAAATTCTGCAAGAATTCTTCTGCAGTTGGTTTTTCGCCATCGACGATATCAGTTACAGCTTTTACAAATATTGCAGGAACTTTGAACATATCTGCAACATAGGCAACTGCTGCTCCCTGAAATTCAAAATCAATGAGTTAGAGACTTTGATGGAATTTTGAAGCGAAAGAAATCTATGCCAGTGTCAGCCTTTGCTAACTCCAGGTACCTACCTCCATATCTTTTACTGTGGCATCGTTAGCTATAATCGATGCTTCATCCTGCATGGACATGTCCAGCGAGTCACCAGTTGATAATTTTCCGACCTGATAGAAGAAACGAAATGACTTAGCTGATCAAATATATATTATTCTGCAAACTCGATCATCATGACATTTTCAGAGTGCTTCACTTCATGGACAATGAAAGTGACTTCTTTCCAACTTAGATAGAAGTTGATAACATTGAAAACTGAAAATTTGTAATAAAAACAAACATATCAAGCCAGTGACATGCTTCTTGTAGCACATGTTCAACTAATGTTTCAAACAGCAGGAAGATTTCATGCAGTTTTAAATTTAAATTTAACTTCTTGGCTCTGCTTTACATCTATATTCATGTAATGATGCATATGGGTGAAACATTTCAGGTTCATCATCGACGTGAAAGCTATTCGAAACAGGAACTTCAAATACGTTTCAAAGAAAACTAGGAGCCCTTACATCACATTGAAGGTCAGAAGTGACTACCTAATAACATCGCAGTACCAAAACAAACTAATGCTGTGGATTATCCAACTTAGAGAGAATAAATATACCATAATGTTAACTCTATTTAATTCTTTCTGAAAGAAATTCACCTTTAGGTCGAGTCCCGCGAGAAGATTCGGTGTTTTCAGTGTTTGCTTCAATCCGACTCCATATAAATCAAAAACCTGTAAAGTACATCATATACTGATGAAAGAATCCTTTGAGGCAGAATTAAGCAGCAGGAAAATTGAAGCTATTAATACTCTATCAGACTATCACAAATCACAGCACAAAGTGCTCAACTTGTACATACAAACATGCCATTACGACGTACAAGAAAAGACGATCGACCCGTTAAGTTCAACGATGATTGCAAATTGAAGCATACATTATGCCTCTTCAGCTGTAGAAAATAATACTTACTGGAATAGGTATACGTCTGTCGTGGAAGGCACACTCAGATACCAGAAACACATCGCCAATGCTAGCTCCTTTGGCCTGATAGCATGCAACCCAATCATCAGTCAAACGCAAATAAGAGTGACCTTAATCCTTCATAATTGTTAGTAGGCCAAACTACAAAATAAATCCCAGAATTTTAAAAAGATTCAACAATTGTTGGATTGAGCAACACAACCAATATTCGATGTTTTGGAAACATATATAAGGAGAGGGAGAGGACAACTGTGAGATCTCACATTGATTGGAGAGAGGAACGAGTGCCAGCGAGACTCCAAAATGAGGTTGGATTGTGAGATCTTACATCGGTTGGAGAGAGGGAACGAAGCATTCTTTATAAGGGTGTGGAAACTTCTCCCTAGCAAATGCGTTTTAAAAACCTTGAGAGAAAGTTCGAAAGGAAAAGCCTAAAAAGGATAATATCTAGTAGCGGTGGGCTTTGGCTGTTTCAACATCGCTAAGATGGCTGAATGTCACAAATAGTGTTCAAGGGGGAGGAAAAGAAGATCAAAAGGAAAGACGACAAAAACCCCAAAAAAGAGATTAACCTGTCCCATGAAGGAAATGCTAGTTTGATGCTCTTTTTTAACTTTGAATCAAGGTTAAAAGAACAAATCTATGTGTGGCAAGAAAAAAGGTTATAACACTGAAACCTTAAAAATAGATTGATATCAAAGATATACACATACCTTAAAACCACCAGCAGTGCCTGCATTGATGATCAGGTCTGGTTGCAATGCTTGGATAGAAGCATAGGTTACGAGCGAAGCAGAAATCGTGCCGACACTATCAACTCCTGAGAGGTAACTTGAACTTCAGAAACAGATAGCTTACATTGTAACTTCTATTTTGAACACATTATGAAAAAAAAAGTGAAGAACAAAGAAGAACATGGAACTAACAGAAACAGACAAAGCACAAGGATATAGCAACAGATGATTATTCCAAAATGATGAAAGAAACGAATCTGGTTGTATGATGCTAATGAAGCAATGTCTAAAAACACCCAAAACCAAGTTAACAATTCAATAATTATATCCAAGTGATTGTGAGATCCACGTCGATCGGAGAGGGGAACAAGTGCCAGCGAGGACGCTGGCCCTGAAGGGGGATGCATTGTTAGATCCTACATCGGTTGGAGAGGGAAACGAAGCATTCTTTATAAGGGTGTGGAAACTTCTCCCTAGCAGACGCGTTTAAAAAACCTTGAGGAGAAACCCGAAAGAGAAAGCCTAAAGAGGACAATGTCTACTAGTGGTAGGCTTGAACCGTTAGTTTTTAAAAAGTTTAATGCTCCAGTACTAAACGTAAAGAAGTGTTGAGTACACAAAGACGTCATAAAAACTAAACTTGATATATGTACTTCATAGGTAAGATCATAATAAGCACCTAAGTTGCAGCCATAGCTAGCCAATCTGAACCAGATCATGTAATAAAGGGAAACAAAAAGAAACCTAGCTCAACTATCTAAAGAAAGAAGGCATGCCAGAGATTAAATGGAATCAGGTATATCAAACAGAGCTTGAACAGAACCTGTGGGGATGGTAAAGCTCAGTTTATGAAATGCATTACAAGTCGTTAACATTAGTAGTCCATGGAGATCCTCCACTGACAGATATGAATCAAAGAAAACAAGGTGATTAGTGATAAATTATCCATACCCAATGCTGAATCCTTTCCAGGCCAAATTAAATTAATTTGAAGATCTTTGTACACCCCATGATAACGAACCCACGGAACCTCCTTTGGAAACCTGCACAATCAAGCACTTGATATAAAAAGAAAAACGAAACCATACCAAGAACCACGAAAAATCTTTAGATAGGAATCACGACTCTCTACAATGGTATGATATTGTCCACTTTGAGTATAAGCTCTCGTGGTTTTGCTTTTGGTTTCCCCAAACGGCCTCGTACCAATGGAAATGTATTCCTTACTTATAAACTCATGATCAACACTTTAATTAGCCGAGGTAAGATTCATCTCCCAACAATCTTCAACAATCCTCCCCTCGAACAAAGTATACTATAGAGCCTCTCCTGAGGCCTACGGAGCCCTCGAAGCCTCCCCTTAATCAAGCTCGACTCCTTCTATGGAGCCCTCGATCAAAGTACACCCTTCGTTCAACACTTGGGTCATTTTTTACTACACCTTTGAGGCTCATAACTTTGTTCGACATTTAAAAATTCTATTAGTTAAGGGCATGACTCTGATGCTTATAAACTCATGATCAATCCCTTAGTTAGTCGGGACTCCTCTCCCAACAATCCTCAAATGGATAGAACATCAGCAGGACTAGCAAGTCAGAGCATCAAGGTTGAACAAAAAAACTTACACAGAGTTATGATCTTCGGAGAGCTGAAACTTCTCCACCAAAGGAAGCGCTTCGGTCTGCATAGCTGAATCGCCAAATCACAACCCAACAGTCGAAATCCCAACTAAGAAAGTAAACATAAAGTATATACAAAAAAATCATTCAAATACGAAGATGGATTACCGATTATGATGAGAATAGATGAAATTGGGCGGTTGCTGTGAGTCTGAGAATCCATGTAATCCTCTGCAGAGCTCTGAATGTCCTGGGGAAGAGTCATGGTGATCTTGGGTGTCAATGGCCGAGACTTTTTAGCAATTTAAAGGACAATCAAGGGACTTGCAAACGACTAATGGGTAGAAAATTTACGAAAATGGTATAGAACGTGGCAAAAGAGTCTCTGTAAAACAGCCTCCAGCGGCGGCTGTTTCAAAAGCGAGGTGCCTTTTTATTCTCTTCCCCTTCTTGCTAGGGATTTCGGTTATTTGAAACTTGGAATTTCAATATCCAATGATTTTCGTGGTTTCAATTCATTTTGGCTGTTTGATGAAAAATAATAATAATAATAATTATTATTATTAAATTATTTTAGTATTATCTATAATTAAATAAATTTAAGTATGTCGGGATTCGCAGATTGGCTAATTTAGCGAATGATCATGGGTTTATAACGAAGAATATATCTTCGTTGGTACGAGACATTTTGGGTAAGCCCAAAGTAAAGCGACGAGAATTTATGCTCAAAGTGGACAATATCAAATCCTCAAGTGTCGAACAAAGAAACTGCCAGCCTCGAAGGTGTAGTCAAAAGTGACTCGTGTGTCGAACAGAGGGTGTACTTTGTTCGAGGGCTCTAAAGAAAGGAGTCGAGTCTCGGTTAAGGGGAGGTTGTTCGAGGGCTACATAGATCTCAGGGGAGGCTCTATGGTGTACTTTATTCAAGGGAAGGAGTGTTGGGAGGGAGTCCCATATTAGCTAATTTAGGGAATGATCATGGGTTTATAAATAAGGAATATATCTCCATTGGTACGAGACATTTTGGGGAAACCCAAAGCAAAGCCATGAGAGTTTATGTTCAAAGTGGACAATATCGTGATTCCTAACGTGGTATTAGAGTCATACCCTTAATTTAGCCATGTCAATCAAATCCTGTGTCCAACAAAGAAATTGCTAGCCTCGAAGGTGTAGTTAAAAGTGACTTGTGTGTCGAACAAAGGGTGTATTTTGTTCGAGGGCTTTAGAGAAAGAAGTCGAGTCTTGATTAAGAGGAGGTTGTTCGAGGACTACGTAGACCTTAGAGGAGACTCTATGGTGTACTTTGTTCGAGGGGAGGATTGTTGGGAGGGAGTCCCACAGATAGACTAAAAACGACATCTCTATGAAATGAGGCATGGAACGGAACTACTTTGAAAAAGTTTCGAGAATTACGAAGGAAATCTCGGGACGTGGGATTTTGGGCCAACTTGGGTATTGGGTTTCTAAATGTATGGGCGCAACTAATTAAACACAGCCACGTGGAGAGATTTGATTGGTGGGAATGTTGTGGAGACTCGTAGGGCAATTGACACATAAACCTTGAAACATGGGACTTTGTCTTGACGTGGAATTGAAAATTACTGATTTGATATACTAAGATATTTAATTTGAGTGGTGAAATTACACTTTTAACCCTAATTTTACCCAATTTTCTTTTAGTTAGTTGTAAATAATTAGGTCGCACGTTTAAATCAAATATGGTAATTTATACACTTCACTACAAATTTTATAACTGAAAGACGTTTTTTAGGTCGAGGTGTAAACCCTGAAAGCTTACAGTACTTCGAGAGACCGAGCATAGTATCCTTTTAAAAAAAATTGTATTGAACAGAACCCGTCTCGTATTTTTGTATTTCATTCTATATTTGATCTACCTCAACCAACACGAGAAAAACTCAAAGCAACGGTAAAAGAGTCAGTCTAATCAGTCAATAGTACAACTCTATCTTTCTCGAGTATAAATATTTAACTAGCCCGAACAAGATGATGCCTCATCTGGGTTGCCATAATATTTAACAATCCACGACCCACTCTACAAGAACTCACTAGACAGGTCGGATGGTGATGGCAGAGGAAGCCCGTGCAACCCGTGCAAGAAAGAGAGATCTTTTAACATTTACAATGCATAGCCAACCTTCCAATCAACCCAAGCTATGCCTTCACCAAAACAAAAAGGCCAACAAGAGGAGGAGAATGGAGAGGGTTTGCTTAGAACTCCCATTTGGTAGCATTGGGAAGGTGTCTGGTAAAGGCATCTGACAGTAATCTCCATTGAAATAAACTCTTCTTGGAAGCGCCCAACCATTGCTTAATGTGAATGATTCTAAGTCTTTTTCAAGAACAATCTCTGTTGTCACATGCCCCACATTGATATCAGTGGATTGCACAAGCTCTGTGTTGTAATACTCAATGCCCCAAAAGACACCCAACTCGCCTGCAAACACACGACAAATATGTGAGAGTTTCACATTGGTTGGGGAGGAGAACAAAACAACATTTCCCTAGCATACACGTTTTAAAGTCTTGAGAGGAAGCCCAAATAGGACAATATCTGCTAGCGGTGGATTTGGGTCGTTACAAATGGTATCAGAGCCAGACACCGAATGATGTGCCAGCCTTCTCACTGGTCCCCGAAGGGTGGTAGACACAAGACAGTGTGCCAATAAGGATGCTGGGCCCTGAAGGGGGTGGATTGTGAGAGTCACACATTGGTTGGGGAGGAGAACGAAACAACCTTTATAAGGGTGTGAAAACCTTTCTCTAGCATACGCGTTTTAAAGTTTTGAGGGGAAGCCCAAGAGAGAAAGCCCAAATAGGAGAATATCTGCCAGCAGTGGATTTAGGTCGTTACAAATGATATCAGAGTCAGACACCGGACGATGTGTCAGCCTTCTCACTGGTCCCCGAAGGGGGTGGACACAAGACGTCGTGCCAATACGGACGCTAGGCCCCAAAGGAGGGTGAATTTGGCGGAGGGTCCCACATTGATTGGAGAAAGAAAAGAGTGTCAGCGAGGACGCTGGGCCCTGAAAGGGATGGATTGTGAGAGTCCCACGTTGGTGGAGGAGGAGAATGAAACAACCTTTATAAGGGTGTGGAAACCTTCCCCTAGTAGACGCGTTTTAAAGCCTTAAGAGGAAGCCCGAAAGGGAAAGCCCAAAAAAGACAATATCTGCTAGCGGTGGATCTGGGTTGTTAAAAATCCGTGTCAAAACGTTGCTTCAACCGGTTTGATAATGTCGACGTTGCAGAAGAAGAAATATGTAATGTACCTCCAAATCTGAAGGATGGAAGTTGTGAGCTATTGAAACTAAATGCTTCTGTTGATTGTTTGAAGCCTGGATGCTGTACTAGGATGTTCCAGTTTGAGTAGTTTCTGTTGTAGTTGTAGTTGGAAACTGTGAGTTTCACTCTCCAATGGTCGATATAGTTCGTCATAACGTGCCAATGCACCCGAACCGGGCACATGTGGTCCGAGCACTGTACTGCGGCGAGATCGTTAGAAGAATTTGTGGTCGACAACGGGTGTTCTTCTCTGGTGTTAGAGAGAAACATGATAGCTTGTTACAAGAAAATGTAAGAGTCGAAAAGAGAAGAGAATACGAATAGGGCGGTTTGCGTGGGTATCTACACAACAACACTCGAAACAACCGTAATATAGTACCGATATACAATGCTGCCAAAGTTCGCCCGTGCACTCGTTATGACCGCATATTCCCAAATATTCTCTTAAAACATTGGACCGCTAGCAAATATTGTCCTTTTTGAGTATTCCCTCAAGGTTTTAAAACGCGTTTATTAAGGAGAGGTTTCCACACCCTAATAAGGAATGCTTCGTTCCCCTCTACAACCAATGTGTGATCTCACAATCCACCCCTTTAGGGTCCAGCATCCTCGCTGACACACCATTCAGTGCCTAGCTCTGATACTATTTGTAACAGGCCAAGTCCACCGCTAGCAAATATTGTCCTCTTTGGGCTTTCCCTCAAGGTTTTAAAACACGTCTACTAGAAAGAGGTTTCTACACCCTTATAAGGAATGTTTCGTCCCCCTCTCCAACCAATGTGGGATCTTACAATCCACCCCCTTGGTGTCCAACGTCCTCGCTAACACATCGTTCGGTGCCTAGTTCTACCATCATTTGTAATAACCCAAGCCCACCATTAGCAGATATTGTCCTCTTTGGGCTTTCCCTCAAAATTTTAAAACACGTCTACTAGAGAGAGGTTTCCACACCCTTATAAAATATGCTTCGTTTCCCTCTCCAACTAATATGAGATCTCACCCGAGGGGTTGATCATATAGTAACAGAAAGTATGCTATTGATAAAGCATGGCAGCTAAAAACGAGCTGGCAAATACCTTGTACAGTGAACAGAGCTTTTGTTTGCTTTTCTGCAACCACAGCTGCATGTAGGGCAGGGTGTGATGGAGGGATTGTAAAATGTTGAGAGTGAGACACAACAGAGTGGTGTCTTGTTCGCCACAAACATGGAGTAAGTACATGTTGACTTCCATGTTCCTGCAAAAACCAGTAGTCAAGCTTCAGATTTAAGGTTTTGGTCGAAGTTTTCACCAAGAAAAAGAGATGAATTTTTCCTTTTATTGACAAAACAGCTTCATACACAAAGCCTAAAGAGAAACATGAAATCTAGTAAGAGATCACAGGTCACTCAGGTCCCTTTCCAAGCCTTTAGATATTCTATGGGTCGTCTGACTTGTGCTTCTAATAAGCCCGAGTCCAAGCCCACATCTAGCAGATATTCTCCTCTTTGTGCTTTCCCTTTCGAGCTTTCCCTCGAGGTTTTTAAAACGTGTCTATTGGGGAGAGGTTTCCACACCCGTAAAAGGAATGTTTTGTTCTCCTTCCCAACCAATGTGGGATCTTACAATTCACCCTTCTTCAGGGTCCAATGTCCTCGCTGGCACTAGTTCCTTTCTTCAATCGATGTGGGACCTCCCACAATCCAACTCCTCTTGGAGGGCCAACGTCCTTACTGGCACACCGCCCAGTGTCTAGCTCTGATACTATTTGTAACAGCCCAAGCCCACCGCTAGCAGATATTGTCCTTTTTGAACTTTTCCTTTTGTAAGGGTGTGGAAACCTCTCCCTAGCAGACCGTTTCAAAACCCTGAAAGGAAAGCCCAAAGTGGACAATATCGGCCAGCGGTGAGCTAGGATCGTTACAAGAATAGACTCCAAAAAACTATGAAGTTGATATCATGAAAGCGATCGCGTAGCATATAAGAGTTGGATTAAAAAATGGAATCAGCAGGCTGTGCCATTCTTTTGGGCACTTGAGAGCAATTTCCAGAGCCAAAAGTGTAACGACCCAAATCTACCGCTAGCAAATATTGTCCTCTTTGGGCTTTACCTTTCGGGCTTCCCCTCAAGGCTTTAAAACGTGTCTGCTAGGGGAAGGTTTCCACATCCTATATCGATTGGAGGAAACCTTCCTCTAGTAGATGCGTTTTAAAGCCTTGAGGGGAAGCCCGAAAGGGAAAGCCCAAAAAGGACAATATCTGCTAGTGGTGGATCTGGGCCCTTACAAAAAGGCAATGTATATTCATTTAAAGTACTTACTAAAAACCTGAACTTGTCTTTTGCCGTCAATGACAGAAGAAACGGTTGGATGAGCGTCCAAAAATGGGCTGCAAGTGTAACCAAGACCAGGCGCCATGAGAGTAACATTGGCCGGTGGTTGCTCATGGCCATCTTCATCCATACTCCCAACTGAAATTTCAAACGAAGTGAATGACTTGGAAGGGTCCACAGCCCGAGCAGAAAGAACCCCACCGCGACAGCAACCCTCCGATCGGTTTTCGGGCGATGCCTCCGGCATGAGATCAAGAATGACAGGGCTCTCTTCACAGGAATGTGGAGTGTCAAACTTAAACAACGAGCAATTCCCTTGTTCAGTTGCAAAAGCTCCACTCATTGACCAGATGACTTCATCCCTTGTCCATGTCCACCCCAGCTTCCAACCCGGCTTCTCCACGTGTCGGAACTGATAGTAGTTTTGGACAGTGACCCTCCCCTGAGAAGGACATGTTGGTGAGAAAGTTCATAGCTTTCCTATCTTCCAGATAAACCCAAATGATGAAAACCAGTGAAAATTGCACAATCTAACTTGAATGATAGGTATTGTTGTAATTACACTCGAACTTTAAGTTGAACTTATAACTCTGTTTGGTTTAGTAGTTCCAACAACACCGGATGTGAGATCCCACATCGGTTGGAGCGGGGCAGACGCGTTTTAAAAACCGTGAGGCTAACGGCGATATGTAAAGGGCCAAAGGGGACAAATCTACTAGAGGTAGACTTGGACCGTTACACATGGTATCAGAGCCAGCTACCAGGCGGTGTGCCAGCGAGCCCCCAAGGAGGGTGGATTGTGAGATCCCACATCGGTTGGAGAGGGGAACGAAGCATTCCTTATAAGGGTATGGAAACCTATCCCTAGCAGACGCATTTTAAAAACCGTGAGGTTGACGGCCATACGTAACGGGTCAAAGTGGACAATATCTACTAGGGGTGGGCTTGGGCTGTTACAAATGGTATCAGAGCCAGTCACCAGGCGGTGTGCCAGCGAGGATGCTGAACCCCCAAGGGGGAGTGGATTGTGAGATCCCACATCTGTTGGAGAGGGGAACGAAGCATTCCTTATAAGGGTGTGGAAACCTCTAAAAACTATGAGACTGACGACGATATGTAACTGGCCAAAACAGACAATATCTACTAGCGGTGGGCTTGGGCTGTTACACCGGAAATGCTATGACAGAACAAAGAAGACATCATAGACATGAAAACTTGTCCCATCAGTGGGAGTGAATACAATTGAATTGTTTGTTTTGAGTGTTGAAGGCATCTTAGACGAAAAGCAAGAGTGATGGCTTGGCTTTTAGATAGTTGACATGGTTGCTAGTGACTTCTAGCGGGAAGTCGCCAACCAGCAGTCGATCATACCATTATGGAGATTTGTGGTTCCTAACATGGCACCAGAGTCATGTCTTTAACTTAGCCATGTTCATAAACTCCTCAAATGACGAACAAAGAAGATGTGAGTCTCAAAAGTGTAGACAAAAGTGACTCAAATGTCGAACAAATGGTGTATTTTGTTCAAGGGCTCCAAAGAAATAGTCAAGTCTCGATTAAAGGGAGGTTGTTCGAGGACTCCATAGGCCTCAAGGGAGGTTCTATGGTGTACTTTGTTCGAGGGAAAGATTGCTGAGAGATGAGTCCCACACCAGCTAAGTAAGGAATACTTTCTCCATTAGTACGAGCCTTTTGGGGAAACCAAAAGCAAAGTCATGAGAGCTTATGCTCAAAGTGAACAATATCATACAATTATAGAGAGTCGTGGTTCCTAACAGTTCGAACTTACTAAATCCACAAACTCTACAATCTTTGCAAGGACGACTTTCACATCTAGGCTAAGCACAAACATTAAACTCACCACGTATCCACGAGTCGTCCAAGTTCGAATATCGTAAGTAATCGTAACATTTCCATTAGGATCCAAGGGATCAAAACAACCTGCAGCACAAACACATGGATCAAGACATTGGTTATGAATAGACACCAAAAAGAAAGGCCTATTATCCCACAAAAATTGAATCCAAAGAAAGCTAGAAAGATGCCTGCCAAATAACAGCACATGGCTACCAAGAACAAACAAAGAACTGAAGGAGAAGGGCTTGCTTCCATTTTGTTGTTTGTCTGAACCCAAATCAAACCCTGACCCAGTTGACATTTTGTTTGTCTAAAGAAGAAGAAGCCTTACCCTAACCCGACATGGGTTAAAACTCCATCCCCATCTTATCCAGAAGCTTATATTCAAACAAGATATTCTAGGAAACATCGATTGGTCGGTCTAACCTTTGGAGAGGCCAAGTGTCGTGGTCGGAGCTCCATTGCAGCAGGCGACACTAGATGTTTGGAAGATGATGCTTGTCGTGTTTCAGCTGCAGATGCCGGTTGGGATTGGAAGTTTGCAAAAACAAAGACAAAAAAACCATGAATTAAATGGGGATTTCAAGAAACATGTGTGTCTTGTTTTCATGGTTTATGCTGATTCGAAGTCAGCTTAGGCCATTTTGCTCTGTTTATGGATTTATACAAATAACTTCCTCTTAAGAAACCCTATTTCAACGCTTTCCTGAGCAGACTCGATCGGGATTATTTCGAACGGTATGATATTGTCTACTTTTAAGCATAAGCTCTCATGTCTCTCCAAGAGGCTTGTACCAATAGATATATAATTCTTACTTACAAATCCATGATCATCTCCTATATATTCACGAGAGCTTATGCTTAAAGTAGACAATATGACTCGAGCTAAAAAAACATTGCACATGCATTGAGGATGACGATATTTGACTTTGCTGAGCTTACCGGGAGGGAAATGAGTACTCACTTTAGAAGCTATTTAGTTTTAACTGATCAATCTGATAAAAAAGAGCAAAAAAATCCGAGTAGCTCTAGATACGCTAATTCTTCTATGATGACATCATCATTTGCGAAAGGTATGATTTAATGTACCGTCTTCGCCGTATTTAGAGCTACTCAATTTTTTTTTACCAAAATGTTGTTGTTATTAATAAATTAATCAATGAAAATACTTTTAAAAAATAATTTATGAAATTAAAAAAAAAGTTAAGAGTGCTATTTTTTTTTTTTTTATTGAATTATAAAATATATTTAAAAAGTATATTACAAAATGAAGAAATTATTTTTGTAGGTTTAATTTAAAAAAATAAAAAAAATATATATATATTGGGAAATTGGGATAACCGGGTTCTCTTCTCGATTCCCAAATAAAGGTCGCTCATAGATCCCCAAGTTTGACCCTCGAAAATCGAAGCTTGGTCGTCTCTCCCTTTCTCTCTCTAATCGGAGTTTCCTCAATCAACGCTCTCCGTTCGATTCGCCATTGTCGCCATGAAAACCTTCAGAGTTTTCTTCCTCGCACTTCTTCTTCTCGCCTCTCCATTTCTCCAAGGTTTGCTCTTTTTCCAATCTTAGATCTACACGTTTTTCCATCATTTGGGTCTTGCGGATTGGTCTTTTGGAATTATTACTCTGTTTTATTAGATTTTCGATCTTGTTGTGCGTGTAGGGTTTATGATGGTAATTTTCTGTTTTATTGGCTTCTGGATCTTTGACTTTTTCGGGGTTTGATTGTTTCTCTGGTGGATCGGAGGGAGGGAGTTCAGATTATTCATTTTGTATTGGATCGTGTCTTTTCCTATTAGTATTTAGTTGCTCTATCACTGATTTTGATGGTGAAATGAGCTTAATTGATTAATTAATCATTCGTTTGAGGATTGAGGTTGACTATGCTGAGGGATCGTTATCGAAAATTTTATGAATGAAATGGTCTTTTGGAATCTATATTAAATCTGGCTTTGAGTGCATTGGATTTCATTGTTTTAGCGGGTCATTTTACATTTGCTTTGTTGTTTACTTGCTTAACAGCTGCTACATGTCAATCGGACTCTGATGTTGAATCATCTGAGGTTGTTGAAGAAGCTAGTGATCTTGGAGTTGTAGGCGAAGAAGATTCTCAGGATTTTGGAGAAGTGAACTTCGGCCCTGCTCCAGGAGTTGATACTGTCTGCGTTTTTCCAAAAAACAGTGCACGCAGTAAGTGTTTTTTCTTTGATAGTCATACTTTTATGATATCTATTATTGACATTGAAGTTCATGCCTTCCATTGCAGTTGTGCCTGCTGGTGAAGAGACTGAACTACTCGCCGGAGTGAAAAATGATGGTAAACTAACTTTAATCTGTTCTTTTTAATTTCTGTTCTCTGTTGGCAAAGTGGGTTTTTATCTGAGATTATGTTCTTGACTGTAGTACATTCACTTCTTTAATTGAACTTTGTTCAACTTGGAGTCATGCTTGAATGTAATAACAAAGAAATTAGGCCAGCATTCATTAATTAAACCTTTTATCGCTTACCATTGATCCAAAATCTTATCAGTCAATAATATCCTCGACTGTTATTTGTTAATCCAGGGGAATCGAGCTTGAATGTTATAGCTATTAAGGCCAGCGTTCACTACACTTTTGATCATCGTATGTTGATTCAAAACCTTACTGGACAGGTAAAACTATCCTGACAAGAACAATGTGATTATTAGATAGAGTTGTTGTATGATCTCAACGTTCTCTATTATATTTAATGATTTCAGCATTGTACGCATCGCCCGATATCTGTCTCTGATACCATTTGTAATGGCTCAAGCCCACTGCTAACAAATATTGTTCTCTTTGGGCTTTCCCTTTCGGGCTTCCCCTCAAGGTTTTTAAAACGCGTCTACTCTGTTTCCACACCCTTATAAATAATGTTTCGTTTTCCTTCCCAACCGATGTGGGATCTCACAAATTTCTTGTGGAGATCGGAGAACTTGGTAATCTCCTCGAAGAAGACATCAAGACCACCTAGAATTCTTTGAGTTTGGCTCATTGGTGTTTGGACATCATTAATTTAGTTGTATGTAATGAATATAGAGTTTGGCTCGTGTTCTTTTCTTCTTTTAGACTGTTATTGGTCAGTGCAAACTTTCTTTTAATATGTTTTGCATGTCGATAGAAACTCTCTTTAGGATATTCATTGCTGGATATCATGCTGCTATTGGTTTGATTCGTATCTGTTTTATAACTATTCCCTCTCTCATCAAGACAATGCTACATAATTTACAACTGAAGTTCAAATTCCTCTCTGATTTATTAATATTGTATTTTAGTACAAGCCTATCTTTCTTTGGTTATAAAGACCAGTTATGAACTTCCAGTTATATTTTCACTTTTCATAACACAGCTTCTCTTTCGATTAACTTCAGCTCGATAATTTTAACTTATATCATCTTCCTCATTATACTTGTAGGTTTTCCACAACGCAACGGTGCCCCCATCAACCCAAGCTTCTTACCCATACATATTTGCTGTCAGCAAGTTTTTGCAGGTATATTCATCATCGTTATTATAGCAGTTCCTTGTCCTTTCAATATGAATTTTCAGTTTATATACTTACCAACCTGCTTTTCTTTATCAATTTTGTAGTTCGAAAAATCTATAAAATGAAAATAACTTAATATATTCCTGATCTGCAGCCTGGAAACTTTGATCTAGTGGGCACCATCTTTTACGAAATAGACCAGACCGCATACCAAAGCGTCTTCTTTAACGGTACTATCGAAGTCGTTGAAGCCAGTGGTCTCATTAGCATGGAGACTGTGTTTTTAGTTACTCTTGGAATCGCCCTTCTCGTTCTGCTTGGCTTGTGGATTCATGGTCAAATACAGCAAAAACTCTCCAAGGTATAGATCTTTCTTGTCTTCATTTGATGATGACTATGCATTCGAATAGTGGATGTTTACTTATTGTCCCAGCATCAGGGCGTGCAATTTTTTCATCAAATATGTAATCTGAACTGGTTTACAAGTATTTACCGGCCGCCGTTTCTTTTATTAAAAACCATGTTCCTTGCCTTCATACCGAATCCTCTCACGTTAATATGTGGAGTATGAGAAAGGCGGAGCTGCAAGACGTGCATCTTATCTAATTTTAGACATTTCTAGAGATATAAATACTTTTGACATAAAATTCTATGCAATTCCTTGTATCAGAAACCCAAGAGAGTTGCTTCCAAGGTTGAAGTTGGCACAAAAACCATTGACACCTCTATGGATGAGTGGCTTCAGGTTTGTTTTTGTTCCTGAAATTCATACATGTCTTGAGAAAATCTCAAAACTGCTGCTGATATCTTTTGCAATCTTGTCTCCTCTGATCCTTAGGGAACTGCATTCACTCGATCGTCGAGCAAGTCGAAGAAAAAGAACTAATGATGACTCGTCTCCATCCCAGTTGCATAGTACACTGACAATGTGCAGATTCCTGCAACCCACATTAGGCAGTTGAAGATTTCAGGAGAGAGTCAGGTTGACTAGTTTTGTAAGGAATTCTTCGCATTATCTGTTTCTTAATGCCGATCTGAACTTAAGTAAGGATACAGTTTTTTAAATCTAGAAAAATTCCATTGAAGCACATGATTATCATAGTTGAAACTTTGTTGAATCCCCAATGACATGGGGTATGCAGGCCTCATTTCCTTTTGATTTCTTTTACCTCTACTTCATGGGAAAGTTCTGCTCATCGACGTCTAGATGTTGAACGATGAATAGTTTCTGTGGGTTCCCATATCGGTTGGAGAAGGAAACAAAACATTTCTTATAAGGATGTGGAAGCCTCTCCCTAGTAGACGCGTAATGGGGAAGCCAAAATCAATCTTGAGAGAGAGCTCGAAAGGGAAAGTCTAAAGAGGATAATATCTATTAGCAGTGAGCTTGGGTTGTTACAAATTGTATCAGAGCCAGACACCAGGCGGTGTGCCAGTGAGGACGCAAGGCCTCCTAGGGGGGTGGACTGTAAGATCCCACATCGATTGGAGAGGGGAACGAAACCTTCCTTATAAGAGTGTAGAAGTCTCTCCCTAGTAGATGTGTAATGGGGAAGCCCATAAGGGGAAGTCCAAAAACTTGGAGAGAAAGCCGTAAAGAGAAAACCTAAAGCGGACAATATCTATTAGCGATGAGATTGGGCTATTACAATTTCGCTATAAAACTGTTAGACATATGTGTTTCCCTCGTTAAATTGCCCCATGTGAGGTCTTGGTTGGTATCTTTCATGATTTTACGAGGAGACGACAATTGGAGAATTGATTGAATTGCTTACTAGCATGGCTTGTAAAAAGTTGGGGGAAGGAAAACCATGGCTTGGTGGTAAGAAATGAAGGCAAACTACTAGAGTCCGTCCCACCGATCGCCGCAAGCAAGCGTAGCAAATCACATAGATAAGTCCCTAGCCAACGTGCAAATAGATAGGGTGGGCGAAGTAACATTGCTCTACATGATACTTGGTACGTGGTAAGTCTAGATATTTTTGACGTCATAGATTCAAATTTGTCCATGTTTCTCGATGGGGATTACAAAATAAGTCGTAAACAAAGGAACAAAAAATTAACACCGTGTAGTTGAAAGGATAAAAACGGAAATGGAGAAGTGTAAAATTATCATTTCAACTATAGTTTGATCCCGCAATCACATCGTGCTTTTTTTTTTTCTTTTAGAAGAATCATATTTCATTCAAAATGAAAACCTTTAAAAATTAAATGCTTCAAGTATATTTTATATCTCAATGTCAATTGCCCTTCTTTTATGGATACCCAAATGATAGCTCTTCCCAAAAGGAAAAGCCATGATCTACACTCGTAGGAACAAATATTCTTTTTCTTTTCTTTTCTCTTTTTTTTTTTTTTTAAAGCGATTGGCCTCCATGTTTTGGAATAAGAACCATTTTCTCTTCGTGGACCCTACAATGTGGTGTAAAATTTGGTTCGACCTGTGTCTAGAATTCAGACCTTACTTACTTGCCTTACTCTTGAAAGTGACAACTATCTTCACAAACGAACAGTGTTTGTGTAACATGTTTTGTTCGGACTCACGTTTTTTCTAAAAAAAATTCAGGTCACCCGAGCCAAACATGTTCGAATTTTGAGTATCTCGAATTTAGCCACCGAAAAAAAAGGTGCATATGTTGATATAGATAGTCTTATAAGTAAAATATAATTCCATCGTTAAGGTAGAATTATGTTTTATCCAAAACTATAAAATTTAAATTATTTAATTATGCCTTTAAATTTTTTTTATTGGAAAAATCCTGCACCGTCGGATCAAACTTCTTTGCAGATCGAAAATGAAATACTCTCTAGATTCTTAAGCAATAATCATTGATAGCGAAACTAACCATGGTAAACTAGGAAGTTTCTTAACGTAACCATGGTTAGACTTATAGAACTGAGATTACACCACGTGTCTTAGATCCAACGGTGGATATCGAGTTTTCATAGATACACACGAAGCTTGACCGCTATATAAAGTGGTTGCCCCGCCGAGTCCAATAATCACGGGTGTTCTTCTACGCTGAGAAATTTAGGGAACTGAAGAGGAGAAAAAGAAAAAGAATGCCAAACCCTAAAGTTTACTTCGACATGACGGTCGGCGGCCAACCGGCCGGCCGGATCGTGATGGAGCTCTATGCCGACGTCACTCCCCGCACCGCTGAGAACTTCCGTGCACTGTGCACTGGCGAGAAGGGAGTCGGCAGGAGCGGTAAGCCACTTCATTACAAAGGCTCGTTGTTCCACCGTGTGATCCCTAATTTCATGTGCCAGGGAGGCGATTTCACCGCTGGAAATGGTACCGGAGGTGAGTCGATCTACGGCGCGAAGTTCGCCGACGAGAACTTCATTAAGAAACACACCGGTCCTGGTATTTTGTCCATGGCGAATGCTGGACCTGGAACCAACGGATCTCAGTTCTTCATTTGTACTGATAAGACCGATTGGCTCGATGGTGCGCACGTTGTGTTCGGTCATGTCGTTGAGGGCATGGATGTGGTAAGGGCCATCGAGAAGGTCGGATCGGACTCTGGAAGGACTAAGAAACCGGTTGTGATTGCCGATTGTGGCCAACTCTCTTAGATTGGCGGACGCACTCACTCTACCGTCGGCTGCCCTGCCGAAATGGTATCTATGATGATTTCCTATTTGCGTATGTTGTTTAAATCGATGCGAATGTAGGTCAGTGCGAGTCTCTTCTTAGTCTATGGGTCATAGGTTTATGCTGCTGCTACTACTGCTACCGCTTGAGTAACGCGCCACTGCCGTTCTACCTTAATTAGTGGTGGTTCTGCGGTGGCTCCTAGACATAATTGGTTGTTCAAACCAAGAACCTTCAATAATATGGCTGTCTTCAGCGCTCTACCTCATAAATCCCTGGTCCCTGTGTTCAACTATTTGCATCTGCATATTCATCCGATCTTTTATGTTAGTTTGTTTAGCTAAACTTGATGTTACTGATTGCGTGGAATTGGTATTAGATTGGGTTGATTTTGCTCTGTTCAAGATGGAAATAGGAGCGTAAAATCTGGTCCATGGAAGTATAGTTTTTCTTTGTGTCTAGTGCCATGGTTTGGTTTTGAAAGATCTGGCGTCGAGCTAAGCTTGTTTTTGGAAAATTATAACTATGTTCATTGAAAAAGCAGGCGGTGGGGGAATATTTTATGGTTTATCTTTTTGGATTCCGGTGGTGATGGGAAGGAACCGAGATCCAGATTTTGGGATCTGAGGGTTGTTTTAATTTTGCTAAATTAACCAATATATATATATATATATATATTATTATTTATGCATGTGGTGGTGGCGGATTTTTTTTTTAAAACAAATTTTAATTAAATATTTGAATGTTTGAAAATTTGAATTTACAAGACGCGTCTGCTGCCTATAATATTTAAAAAAAGTTTCGACAAATTTAGACCAAAATTTGAAGTTTTATTTAATATAAAATTTTAATTTATTTTATTTTTTAAGATTTTGAAAATTCATAAATTTGTTAATGAAAGTTCTTTGAGGGTTATTGTTTTTATTTTTTTTAATTCAAGTGGGTTTGATGTTATTATTGACTAATGCCATTTGAATAAGTCTATTTTAAATTTAAACGATTAATTTGTTTTAAATTTTCAACAATAAAATAAATTTTTTAAAAAAGTAAATGGATGCTAATGTCTTTTTTTAGTTATTAAAAAAAATCACTCCACATGCTTTTAATATTTTGGATTTAAATAATGTTCTCCATTTGCCACTCATTAAGAAAAGTAATTAAAATTATGTATTCATAAAATTTTAGATAGGTCCTAAATTGTTATATATTAAATATAAAAGACTAAATTATTAAAATACATTGTTAGACGTCCCCATTGTCTACTTTGAGTATAAGCTTTTGCTTTCCAAAAGGCCTCATGCTAATGGAGATAGTGCATTTCTTGATTATAAGGAAAGACCAAAACGTTTCGTAGCCAAAAGCCCAAAAAGGCCTCGTAATAGAGATAATATTTCTTGATTATAAGCACGTGATCATTCCCTAAATTAGCGACCTCCTCTCAAATAAAGTATGTCTCCCCCTTAATCGAGGCTTCACTCCTTCTTCTTCTTTGTCATTGTGTGGAGAGTTGTATTTGTTTAACGTATCGAATATTTTTTAAAATATATAATATAAAGGATAAAATATTCCTACAAAATAAATAAATAAAGGATAAAGTAGCATAATAATACAATATTTTCGACCATGATTCTTTTTTCCTATTGTTTTCACGACCTTTATTATTTAGACAATTAATTAAAAGATATATTCCAAACAAATTTAGCCTTCTTATTTAAATTTGAAGAAAATATATTTTGTAAGTTTTAAAATTCCCAAAAATTCTAAAAATACTTTTTAAACATTTCTTCATTTCTTCGATAAACGATGAATTGTTCCAAGTAAAATACGTTTAAGTTTGTAGTTTATATGATCGATTATTATATCTTATTGATATATATAATAACTATTAAATTACTCTCATTTGAAAGTGGTCACGAAACACAGATACCGCTCCTTTACTCAAGTACCACATAAGGAGGGATGCAAGGCTACGCAAATCAATTTAGGCTCTATAAAAAATAATTATAAATAAGTCGAGAAAAATAGAATAAGATACGAATATAAAAAAATATTACTATCATCCCCGGATTCTAATAATTTTTTAATATTAAATTAATCGTTGACATAGTTTTAAACACGAATGAAAATTATTCCTAGAATCCTATTCATTTAGGTCATAAATTTAATTTTATCCATATATATATATATATATATATGTATATATATATTTATTTATTTAATTCCCAACCTGCTAATTAATTTTCTTTTTTTTTTTCAAAAGAAAAAAGCAAAACGTGTATTTATTAATTAATTAATTTATTTATCATTGGGATTAAAATATAACCAGTACGTAGCCGACACGTATTGCTATATTTATGTTGAAACAATGAAAAATAAAAAAGGAAAGGAAGCCTTCCGCCCATTAGAAAAATTCCGACAAGACGACGACGGCAGTGCGTTACGTCGAGAAGTATTTCTCAGATCTCTTCATCTCTTTTTCTCACCGGAATTTCTTACTTCCGGCGATCCATTGCCTTTCTTCTTTCATTTTTTGGAACAAGTGATCTTCTTTTTGGCGG